TATTCTTCTGGTTATTAATAAGATTTAAGTAATTCAAATCTGTATGTACTTTCATAAATCGTAGCTATATAAAAAGGACACAAGGAAGAGGAAAACTTAAGGCAAACAATTTCTACTAAATTTAACCAACAATTTGTGTTCCTTACAAAGAAAGTAAACCAAGTATTATTTTGTTGATTTGGGTCATGACTACCAACGCCTTCCTGTGACTTCAAACGGAATTTTAAGTATTTTGAGGGCGATGCTAGTGCACATCGTTATAAATACTGGTGCACATGTACGAGGGCAGCTCCGCCCACTGCAATGCAAGTTTTCTACAAAATTAGTATAACGAAAACATTGAGTTTGGTATTCCGCAATAGGGAAATTGATTGACGTTTCAATGTTAAAAAAATTTCATTAAAAAACATAATTAAGTGAGTTAGCAAACAGCAAAATTAATCAAAGAAATACGATAATTTTTGTTATCATATTTATGCACAACAAGGGTTTATAAACGTGGGGAGTTGTAAAAGTTTTGGATTTAATTTTAAAACTCAAGTTTTCAAAGTTCTAGCTCTTGTTTTTTTTTTTTTGATATGTCTATGTTTTGCGATATATCTTATATCGATATATCCCGACAATATATTAACCGTTCAAGGTTTTCATATTATACATTACATTAAAAACTTAAAAATATTTATTTTTAGCTGATAGACATCTTTATTTGATAATAAAGTTTGTCTTTCGAACCAAATTTTTAATTTTGAAAACATAAATAAACACGAAGGACAAGTTCTGGTATATTCTTAACTATAGTAGCTACCGAAGTGTGAGTTGATGTATTGTCTTTATTTTTTAATAAATTTAAAACATTTAACAAAAATTTTTATTTTCCAACAGCGAACATTTTGTGCATCTTTAACCCATTCGGTTAAAACAGGAGAAGCCGGGTTCAAACTGAACGACTATTCACTACGATTATATTTACTGTCAGTTACCTACGCTTTTTAATCTGCTTATAATGATGTCAAGTTGTCATTTTAATATCCCGATACTATTTTGCTTAATTTCATAAACATTTACAGTAAACAAATTAAAATAATAATTATTATTTATACCTTTCATAGTAATTTTAGATTTTTGATCTTTTGAGAATTATATTCTTTAGGATTGTTCCTAAAATGGAGCATGTATTATCTCTGTATTAATATTTCCATTTTCGAAATTTATTTCCCAGTTAGGTGCAAATCTTTGCAAATGGCCTCCGTATATACAATTACTTTTGTGTTGAGTTGCTTTCTTATAAATTATGTATACTGATCAATATATAATTGATTCTGTATCACAATTAATTTAATTAATTAACATGTATTGTAAGATACATGTAATCTCTTACAAATGTTCTTATACATTATAATTCACAAATATATTACGATATATGTCATTGATAAGTCATGAAGCAACACTTTTGTCACAAGTGTGTGACAATTCAGCAAACAGCAAACTGGAATTGCTATTGCAATTATAACAAATAGGCTACTTAATGTGTCACTCATCCTTAATCCCCAACATGTCTTTTCCCCTTAGCAAGTCCAACCAAAAACGTAAAGTGCATTACTGTTTGTATTTTTGTGTTTATACACTTGTGTATTCTATGCAAAGTGCACTTTAGGCAGACAAAAGCCTTAAAAGGACATCAACTTGCACGCATTAAACACAAAGCGTACATACCAAAAAGTATGTCAAATGCAGCTAAATATACGGTCTATATATATATATTGTATACATATATATGTATATGTATACATATAGGTATGCATTGTTGTGTACTCTACATAAAATACTTAAAGATTTATGCCTCTTCCGTTGGCAGAATGTATGTAGTCCTCATTCAAAAGTATCAAAGTGTTCTATTTTGCATTATTTTTCATTGTTTTTGTTTTTCTTCGCTTGTAGATACTACAGCGAATAGAGGTTCTTTGTTTTTGCAATACCAGTACTCTCAGTGCCAGTGCTTTGGTGTGCTTAACTTGGATTTGCCTCCAGTAATGCTAGTGTTCGTTCAGTTGCATACTCACACTGCAGTGAATACACTCAGAAAAAGGAAAGTAAGGTCAACGCAGCGGTGCATAGCACAGCATTAATGTGACATGTATATGGTAATTCTATTTTATCTTAAAGTTTATAAGTTTCAACTTTTCAAAGCTGAGGTTTCGTATTGTATTAAAATTATTATATATTTTTCATTAAAAGATTTCAAACAATCGATCTGTATTTCATAATATATATTTTACAAATGCTCCCAAAACCTTCGTTGCGTGTATTTGTAATAAACATGTGATATTATAGTTATTGATGGTAATTTTTGTGGTAGTTGACTTGTTTATTATGTAGTGTATTTATAAAATTTATTTATGTGTAAAATTCTTAGTTCGACTATTTTTTAATAACAAAATTCTACAACATATATATCAGTTGGAACAACTCACTACACATTCCGCTCTACAACCGAAATCTTTACGACCGCGAGCTTAAATTTCACTCATAGTCATTACGCAAGTATGCGCCAGTTTTATTCCATTCACTTATAAAAATTTTAAATACGTATTTATCAAATTGCATAGGTATCAGAAAACAAATAATTACAAAGTCATAAACATATTGACGTATAAAGTCATTTCTTTCTTCTACTCAAATTTGCTGAAATAACGCTCACCACTTCTCAAAATATGTGAACCATATGGGAGAATGCTGTTCAATAAGCGTCAACTCGAGGGAAGCTAGTAAATCTTTAAGAATCTTAAATAGTGAGCATAATTTTTGCAATTAGAGAGTAAACTCACCAAGACAATGTCATTAGTATGTTCCGACTTAAATGATAAACCTTTTTCAAGTCCTCTGTTTGACAGTGACACAACCAAGCAAGAATGTTTACTAAGTTGGAAAAGACCTTTTGATAAAAATATTTGGTATCCGCAAGCAACTGTTTGTTTCAAAATAACAAAAATCTAACAAAACTCAGAATACCATTTCCCAGTTCAGTAGTTACTTTGCCCTAGAGATAGATGATCATTAACACACTTTGTATTGAGAATTGGTAAGCTCTACAAAAATATAACATGTCAAAGACAACATGTATTATCCGTGAAGTCTTGGAATTGTGTCAATTTGTCTGGGTGAACCTTCTTATATTAATTAAAATATGTAACAGAACGATGATTGGTTTAAAAGTTGTAATGATGATTATTTTCATTATCGCTACTGTTTTAAAGATATTGATTATGAATCTATCAGAGGGCTGATGTTGGAACAGCAGCAACACATTTTAACATAAGCTAGATAAGATTTTATAATTACAGATTTCTATCAGATCGACTTTTTTCAGCATCTTGAGCAGTACTGAAAGTGTATTGTGCTTTTTGCACGACTATTTTTTGTTTATTAGACCAAGTACATATCTGTCATGTTTCTGTCGTTTTAAAAGTGGATACTAAATATAAAATAAAATTATTAGAAACTTCACGAAAGTATATTTATATCCTGTTCCAGAATTTAAAATACGTTATATATAGTTATAATTGGTATAAATTGGAACTTTTTAATATTTTTTACTTAATGTATTGTTTTTTTCTATATTTTATTAAAAATATATAAAAATATAACTGAAAAATTATTATAAAGATTTTATAATGAAATACTTTCTCCAAATTCTATAAACTAGATCCTAGATTAGGTTCTATACATAAGAAAGAACAAATCATGCAACAAATAATGCCTCTACGAATAGAATAGTTTTGAAATTTAACAATTAAAAATAAAAAAAAAATATAATTAATTAATTAATTCAATTATTCTACAGCTGGTTTATGATTTCGTTCTAATATATAAATACAGCAAGTAAAATTGTTAATAACAAAACTCCAGCAAAAATATGCGAACATAAAAAGTCAAGTACGGCTTTGGATCAGTTGGTTAAGGTGCGCTGATTCTGAGCTTCATATTTGGCAGGACCCGAGTTCGATTTCTGGTACTTGCAGTCTCAAAAATAATTATTTACGAATAATTAAATATAAGAATTATTTCCAAGACCACTGATGAAGGGTATTTGACAATACTCGAAACAGATGTATGGTCAGCCAAAAATTCAATTAATTAAAATAATTTAAAAAATAAATTTTTGTTGTTGTTTCACTTCTGTTCGAAAACCTCTTTATATAAACTAGTGCATCAATAATTTACAAAAAAGCACATTTGACATCACCTGCATATACACCAAGTATGTCACAGGCGCATGGCGTAGATGCATTTCAAGCATACTAAATCTAAATAATAAAGAAACGTGTTATGAAAATTATAACTGCATTGAAAGGACATAAAATGTAAACAGTGAGAACGATAAATTTATGCGACGAGTCAGTAAAAATTTAATCTTCAGTCTCAGCGACATAAATAAAGATAACCAACGTATACATTCAACATGCGAGTCCCAAACCTTGGCTTGTACTGCTCACAAAATCAAAATATAGTACACCCAACTTTGCACCCCACACCCGCTGCAAGTGTTCATACTTTGTAATTAATAAGGCTGCAGAACAGCAGTCGACGCTGAAAATGCTTAATGCAAATGACAAACGAAGTTTTGTAGCATGAAGCTGCAACAAAGCTAGCAGCAGCAGCAGCAGCAGCAGCAGCAGTAGAAGCAGCACAAGTTGCTGTAATTTGCGTATCAACAAACTTTGTTGGTAAAACCGAAAGGATGTGTAAGTGTGAGTAAGCTTGCATTCGTTTGCAATCGGTTTTACCCAGAATAAAAGTAAGGAGAGCGAGAGAGAGCGAGAGTGAAGTGAGTGTAAATGATTTTATTTTCCTATTAAATTTGTTATTGTGTGTTCGCTGTCGCAGTTATGTTGTGATTGCTACACAAACATTGCATGGAAAGAAATTCTGCAGCAGTGCTTACGAAGGAGTTTCGTATCCTATGCAATTTTAGTTTATTGAAACCAACGAACGAGTGCAGTTCATAGATAAAATCACATTGCAAAATTAGTAGTGCAAATTAAGTGCAGAAAAAAAATTTTTAACTGCTGCAACAAAAATCATGTGAAAAAAAATTTAATTATATGTGCAATTCTAAAGGATATAGATACAGACAAAACTCGCAAAAGTATTTGTAAAATAAAGAATACTATTTAAATATTATTTAAAAATATAAATAAACACCTGAAGGAATTTAATATAGATAAATATGTCGACTTTACCATTTCTACTGAGCGTAGCTGATGAATTGGACAACATCAATTCACAATCTTATATGGATGATTTTGGGCTGGGATTCCATCCACATCGCCAATACTACCGCACACCCACTATACAGTTGTCCTTGCCCGCTAGTACCGATTGGATGCAGGAGCGTCAACGCTGTCGTACGCATAAGTTTGTAGATGAAACGCAAAATAACCTTCAAAGTACTGCAGAGGCAGATGAAAACGTTGATGATGGTGAAGGTGGTGCTGGTGCTGGTGAGGATACTGCGTGTGCTTTAGATAAGTATGGCGATAGATATGGTGGTGCCAGCACATCAGCTGCCGGTAGTCGACAAAAGTACACATCCGCTCTAAATTCTAACAATGACAACGATGACGAAGATAAATTAAATAACGTCGATAAGTCAGTAAAAATTTATAATCTATCCAAGAAATGCTGTAAAAATTATCATCGCCATGGTAAGGAGACGTCCGGTAAGTGTACAACGAAATCGGGTGAGGGAAGCGGTGGTTTCAAATTGCATAGTAAATGTTTGGAAGGTAATAACTCATCATCGGAGGAGAGTTTACAAAAGGTTTCGTCGTCGATTGAATTTCTGACATGTTTTTTGATGAAGAAATCGCGTGCATCGAAGAACTCAACTGGCGTTGAAGGGAGTGGTAAAAAGTCTTAGAATACAGTAGCGAAACGCAAAAGTAATTGTTTTTAAATGTGAACAAACCCCATGAATACGATAGACAATGCTTAAGTGTTATTATGAAGGTTAAGGGTTTTTATATTGTGGGAGTATGGGGAGTAGGAATGTGTGCATTAGGGTAATATTTTCTTAAGAGGGGCTAATTCAAAATGTTGACAGGTTCAAGTGGAAATGTAAGGCCAGTAAGATATGAAAGAGATTGTTTTAAACCTTGAATATTTTTGGTAATAATAATAATAAAATATAAAAACTTAAAACAATGAAAACTATACTTAAAAATATTAATATATTTAAAATATAATCCTATAAAAAAAACAAAAACATAATTGCTGCGTTAAAGTTAAAAAGAAATGAAGCCGAAGAACCAGAATTATCTAGAAAGTAGTTATAGGCATTGATAATAGTTTCATATAACTTACAATTTCGTTAGCTTAAAAATATTAATAAAAAAAAATTAAAAAAAATTTTAAAAATGTAAACAAATAAATGTAATTAGTGCTGAAACTGGATATTTGTAATTTGTTATATTATATTTACATATATATACATACAAATCTATATATATATATATATATGTATGTGTGTGTATATGTATAGATACATTAACGTTAATATACAAATACATATTATAATGGTTGTTAAAATTTATGTTTACAAGTATTATATTTATTTGTATATAACGTAATATCAGATATATACATATGTATATGTATGCACTATACGTAATTAAAAAATAATAATTTGCATTATTAAAAATTTATAGCATTTATATATATTATATAAATATATAAATAAAGAAACCAGCATCATTTGCAATTTGCTAAAAATATATCTTTAAATCATAAAATTATTTAAATTTAATTAAATTAAAACGTGTTCATGAAAACTTGCTACCTTAAAGCCACACCGATAACTCCAAATTGTATATTTTATTTAAAAATATTTTTTAAAATTTATAAGTAATTTTTTACACATTTTTATACCAATTTTTATACCAAATCAGTAATAAAATATAAATTTTAAAATAGCAAAAAAGTAGTGCTAGCAAATATATAAGAGTTGAAAGCCGTATAAGAATATGTTTAATATAGTCGTATGCATATATTGATAATATACATATAATATATAAAATATATTTTTAGAAATGTATGGCAGTTTGTGCGTTAGTAAGTGGAAAGGTTATTCGTTGCACATCTCTGACTTTGTTTCTGATGAGTTTACATAGCTCAGCACAGTGGCGTGTTTCATAAAATGACGATTTGGTAAACTATTTTACTGATTTTTAAATAAATTTCAAAGAAAAAAAATTAAATATAGAAAAATATAAAATTTGCAAACAAAAAAAAAACAAATCAATATGTAATGATGTTGATTACTTCTAAAATAAAGTCAAATATTGATCATGTCTATTTATTATAAACACTCTCAAAAGAATCAATGATTGCTTATGAAATTTAAAAATGTATTGCGAATTAATTGATTTAATAAATAATAAACTCGAAATCAACATTCTAAAATCTATTCTATAACTATTTTATGATTCAGCACTTTTATTAATAATGCGAAAAGCTCAATTCGCTTTATTCTTTTTTTTTAAATTCAGATTAAAAATTAAAATAATGAATTTTTAAGAGTTCTCTTAAGAGTCACTCTTAGAAGGAGATTAACCTCATATAGTGACAGTTCTAAATATATTTCTTGATTTTAAAGCAACATAATTAATTCTTGTTGAAAGAAAAAGTAATAATTTATTTCACGCCATACAATTTAAAACTGGTATTCACTAAAAGCCATGATCCCCTAGGCTTAGCTACTCTTAGTAATTTTTGGTACTTAAATAAGAAGTGTTTTTCTTATTAGTTTGCTGTGCTTATTTGAAACCAAGTACTGTTAATATTAAATATATTTTCATTTACTATATAACCCATGTTGTACAGACAGTCCCAATTGACATAACTGTGAATCAATTGATAATTGATTATATGATCAATGATCACAATTTAGCGCTCTTTTTAGTCATGATCAAGTGGCATGTTATAAAGAGAGTCATATCACAATTATCAATTTTCTCATCTTACTACTCTTTTAAAACGTTTTTTTGTGCCTTATTTAGAAGATACTTTTCTTATTTTTCTGTGAATTTGCATACAAAAATGCTAATATTTGCTACTAATCGATGCAAATTCTGACATTTATTACAGAGTAACACTGTTTTGATAGAGCATATAAAACTTCTTCAAATTTAAATCGATATTTCTCTTTTTCTCTCATTCTTAACTTTTTGAATTGCATTGGAAACAACAACAAATTGAAATTTGATGTGATCATGTGCTTTTTTTTTATTTTTATATTCCACCTCCTTACCACAAGACAATGACCCTTTGTATAACATGACCCTATCAGAGTCAACTGCTCAAATCCGGAGAATCAAATTCTATTCCTTTCAGACATCTAATCCGTATATTATTTATATTCCATCAAGTATATAATAACGTCTTAAATTTTTGTAAATGTCTTCTTACTCTTCTTATTCCCTATTTCTAAATGTATAATTTATCTTACAAGACTAGATAATGCACGCCTCTGTAAAATATATTAACACATTTCGCGCTAACTATAAACTCACCTAAAACGCAACAGTAAAGGACGTTCAGCAAAAGGATAACCTTGTTCCATTTAGTATTTAACAGAAATGAAAGGAAAATTTTGAAAAAAGTGTAGTCATAAAGTGAAAGTAGTGTAAGTTGAATAGATACTCTAGTCAGTTGTAAAAAGAAAAATATATATGTATAAAGAAAAATATTTATTTGTAGTTTTAATTACCATTGTAGAAAAGGTAAGCCAAATGCTTACAAAATATGTGCAGCAAAGCAATGTTTGTATTATAAACTAAAGTAGAACATAAGAAATTTACTCGTAAAGAAACTTTTATCTTAAAATGCAAATACACACTAAGCATATATACAACTTAATCAAATTTTCATGGTTATTGATAGAACAATATATTCGATATATATATATTTAAATATATATGGAACCGTTATTAATCGATATATATAACTTATATAAAGTTCATAGCACTTAAAGGAATCTAAATGTAACTGAGACACTGCAAAAATTATATCTCTAAGCAAAATTTGTACCAGTTCAGTAAAATCAAGAACACCACAAATGCTTCTAAATATTTTATTGTAGCAAATATTGTTGAATATTGTACTAAAAAAATTTTTGAAATCATTATTATATATGAATTAATTAAATATATAGTGTTTAAATATATAGAGATATTATTAAGCACTGTTTCATCTCTTTAAAAATTTCATAAATTATGTTAAAAGTTTTATTAGAAATGTTTTATTAAAATTTTAAGTGTAATTCCATAATATTAAATTATTTATTATTATATACATAAAAGAAGCAGTAATATATTCTAAATATTATATATTGTTAGAGAAATAAGTACACATTTACAATAATACATAAGGCATAATTTTTATCTTGTAAGATATTTGTATTAAATATTGGAAAAATTCAGTTCCTTAAAAGTTGATTTGAATAATACAACATGATCATATATAAACATATATACTAAAAAAAAATCATTTTCAAGAATTTTTTTAAAAAAATCAGATGATAAACTATATTATTACCAATTGGATAAATTAGTTATTATCAAAATTGTTTGTGATTATTATTATTAGTACTACAATAGTTTTATCTGATTGATGTTAGTCAGAAATCATATATCCCGGATACTAAAAATGGAGGCATTTTGATCTGGTGGAGTATAGATTTGGTTTACATACTGTTTTCAAACACAGATTTAATGTCTAAACGACAACTAATCAGTTTTCGAATAGAAAAGTGATTCATAATTTTTAATAAAATGAACTACTGTACTGTACAGCAGCTGTTCGAATACTTCTAAATATTGATAATAAACGAGCTAGAGAAACAATGCCTGGCTTTATTGTCGTATATACTTTCTGAAGAAAAATTATTAGAAATTAAAGCCCGTTAAATTTAATAGTCATTCGTACTAAGCCAACCTCATAATTATACTGCAAAAAGTACTATAAAAAGCTAAGATAACTACGTTCTGTGTTTCTGGTAGATGATGTTCATCTTTAAACTCATATGTTTAGGTACTAGTCTAGTTGTAGATATATTAGTTGACTATTAACTTCTAAATCATTACATATCACTCTTAGTTTTCCTTTTTTTATTTTTCCCATTTTTAATTGTTTTTGAAACAGGATGACATTATGGGTTGTCTGTTCCTAAAGCACTATCTCAGTACCATTTTTGAACTGGGTTTTCAGGCATAGGAACAAGTTGATAAACGTATTTATAATGAATAATATGATTGATTAAATAAATTTGTGATAATGTTATGTCTATCCACATATTTGAACGAAGTAAGCACTTGCACATCAATATGACATGTTCAATAGTCTATTCACTTTCCTTATATCGCTAGCAATTGTCTTATACCGATTTTTTGTATTATTTTGCCCTTATAAAATTGTATATATTTTATAATTTTAATTTTTGAAGTTCATTACAATTTTTTTTATTTTGAAATAAAATTTCTTTAGATTACCCCTTCTTTTCTTCTTCAATTTTCAATATAATAGTTCTTAGGAAGTTTTTCGAAATTTTAATATACGTATATCTCAATTTTATATGTTTCTATTTCATTTTAAACAATTTTTTTTATTTATACAATCCGTATTAGAACAATTTATCTTTTTAATTCCTCTTAATTAATATGCACACATATAGAAACATAATGAGGTATGATTTATATGAGACCTCATTCTCATTTAAGCTTGTTTGGTATTGAAAAGGTTCGGGTTTTGTTCCAAGCTATAATATGTTATATTTTTCTATTCTTAAACGTTTCTTATAACACTGCCCAAATACGACAATGACTAGAATACTCATACCTCTTAATTTGAACTCACCGGGAGGATTAGTTCTATCATTTTAGAAGTTGAATATTGTTTAATTTTAAATCAAGCTTTATAATTCGAATAAGAATTTTATATATTATACTATATTGAAAATTTCTTTAGCTGTAGTTCACCAGATACACGTTACTGGTTTATTTGAGATCTTTCAAATTGATAAACATAAAATATTGGCATCCATAATTAACGTCTAAGCACATACTTAAGCTATACTTAAAAAGTTAAGTTTAAAAGTCTTCCAGAGAGATAATCTCCGATAACGGATAGCAAATTATGTTTGTAATGGCTTTCAGGACTTT